TGCCTCACAAGTTGTAGATTACCTACCTCTAAGTTAATTTTTTTAAGCTTATAAGTTATACGATCAATACGCAGAATAAAAATATACTTAAGTTAAACTAATTGAAAAATTAATATTCCATGTAGGCTACAGTAGACATTTATTTGCCGCTCACGGTATTATTCTATGTTTATTTTAATTACCCTATCGTTATAACTCTTAATAACTATTTACATAAAATGTGTCAAGGATAAAATCACCATGTGTTTTATTTAAGTATTATTGTTTTCATTTGTTTATATTATAATATTGTTATTATAAATTATAATTATATCAATCACAACGGGTTAATTATTATTATTATTAAATGAAATTAATGACGAAAAAAACATAGAATTATTGCATGTTGCCATGGTGATAAATATATTGTATAATTTTCTGTTGCTACTTCTATCGATATATTATGATCAAAAAAGGAACAAAGAAAATGAAGAGCTAACTAAAAATGTATTGCTTAACCGTTTATATTTGTGTAAATAGAAACCCTATTAAATTATAGCAAATATGTAGAATATCCCAAGTTTATTATTATTATTATTATTATTGTTTTTATCCTCCATGGAAGTTATATACTACTTAATGCAAAAATAATTTATGTGTTGTGTTGGATCTTTACAATTAGGTATATTATTAAATAGAACAATATTATTATTACCATTTATTTATAATCTATACTCGACATACCTAGGTAACTAATATTTAGCTTATATACCGTTTATGTACCTGCATATCGACGAACATTGTTATTGTGTACTCGTCCGTTTTCTACTTATTTTAAACATAATATATTATGTCAAATTGTTATTATGATAAGAATGTCAGGAAAATACTCTTAATTATGAATCTTATATATTATGTATAATGTATATTTATTCCGTATTATGGAAACCAAAAGCGTACACATCATTTGCGAACACTGTTCAAAATGTCTGTGATTCAGTTTGTAATATGTAAATATTATTTTTTTTTTTGTTATGTTCCAATAAATTATACCATTATTGTAAGGTTATATAAATATAAATTCAATTATCAAAAAAAAAAAAAACATTTGTTTACAAATACTGTGTGATAAGAAACTTAAAAATATTTATATGATATTATATTATGTTGTACGATTGTTATATCCTGGTGGAGGGAGTTAAAAATTGAACAGTGAATAAACAAAGTATTCTGGCAAAGTATTAAACATTAATGGTAAAACATTAATGATTCAATGGAAATTATAAGATTTAAACTTAGAACTCTTTCATATATTATTTCATATAATTTATTTCAACATTAATATAATTCAAATTTGTTTTAAAATGTTAAATCTCTCAAACAAAACAAACCTAGTGGCTAATACTCAGTATAGAATATTATACACTTAATAATACAAACCGAGACCTCTACGGTTCTACTTAAACTATTAATGTTTTGAAACAATTCCAACTTTAAAGATTCTAAATGCCTTAGGGCACAAGCTTAAAGTTTAGTTTATAAAATAATAGAACTCCTATGTAATGGTCTATATAAGATATTATAACCCATAATTTTCTACAAAAAGTTATTACTCAAACTTTTAAAAATTATTGTTATTATTGTTAAAATATTATGTGGATATGTATTTTTATTTTTTAAGCCCTGTTGGCTGATAATGGTTGAAATAATTAAATGCATTAAAAAAATGACTGAGTGAAGTTTATACTGAATAACAAATAATACGGGCTCCAATGATATGAAGAATTAATCACTCATAATAATACCATTTAATTATGGCAAATGCGTTTAAAGGCACTTTTGCTAATCAACAAAAACATGTTCATTATGACACTTCTTTTTGCGAAAAAAGTCATTGTCAAACAGTTAAATTGATTCATTAATCTATTTTGCATTAAACAACTGATAAAAACATGAAGTCCTTCCTACTGCCTCTCATAAGGTATCCAATCATATGCGTGTGTATATCTCCTATGCAATTACCCATATGGTTTAACCCCAAGCGAAGCTATTAGCTAGATCATCCCTCCAGGCATCTTACCGAATGTTTTATATTAAATTATAATCACCTAATACCTAGTCTGTGATACCTACATGGCTATACATATAGTAGGCAGGTGAAAAATATAATTTAAAATATTAACAATTTGGAATGCTATGTTAAGAAAATTATTGTTTTTTTGTTTTGACAATTATTTGTTGGGAAATAACAATTTAGTGACTTGTTATATTAATTCGATAGAACGATTAGGACTTTTTGTTCATGTAGTTACTGTGGATGAAATTCGTACAAACAACCAAATTGTACCGTGCTAAAATAATCTTCTTTTTTAAATATGTTTTGGTTAAAATATGGTATAAAACTATTATCAATAATTGTTATTGATTTTTGGATCATAGCAAAAATGCATTTCAAAAGTGAAAAAAGAATTTTTGCAGACCAATGAAAGCGCAATCCAAGAAATGACAACAGGGGTGCCTCTCCTCCCCCCATCATCTAAAAAATAAAAATTGTGCATAGGCTTATGAGTAAATAATTTTTTTTTCCAATAAGATGAAAAATTTAAACAAGACAACAAAATCAATCAATTTGAATAAAAACATTCTTTTTTTTTTTTTTTTATTAGATATAAACAATCTATACAAATTATGTGCAATAAGCTTATGTGTTAAGATAATACAGGACGTGAGAAATTGAATAAGAAGCCGCCCAACATTTGGCATGAGTTATTTATACATATATATAAAAACATTCTAAAATCTAAATAAACTAAAGATACATTTTTAGTTTAAATTAGGAGTAATAAGAGTAGGTATAACCTATAATATCATAACACTAATGCGATGTTAATTAATACAACTTGCAAAGATAACTTTGCTCTTATATATTAGTAGGTGCCAATGATTTTTTTTTTACAATAAACCAATATTATAATTTTATTTATTTTCAACCAACCGATGTCTTATGTTGTACATTTAAAATGAAAATTAAATTATTTTTCAATCGTATATGATGTCCAACATATGTGAATAGTATTAATTCACGAAATCGTCCTGTAAACTATTTACCTATACATACCTATACTGGCCACTAAAATGCTAACAAATAAACCCCATGTCACCATCATGAACTGTTGTATTTCGTAATTTTCGTTGTACAGTGTTCTGTGACCTGCGTATAAGTAAACATGCCTTTGAAAGTTTGAAATTTACCGAAAATTTTGTTTTAATAAACTTGGACACGCAGGGTAGATACACCAGATACTAGATAGTATAATAATTCCATATAATTCGACCGACAAAAGCCACTCAAAAGAGATGTATTGCAGTTTCCTACAAGCCACTTGTATTTTGTACACAGGATGACTCACCCCACCGATTTTCTGTACCTATTTTTAATATTACATATTTGTATTGGCTCCAAATTTATTTATTTTAGCATAGAATGTTGCACCTAAAAAATTATATTAAACTTATCATAACTATATTAACATTGCAACATATAAATATTAATGTGATATTATTATAATCTATATGAATAGATTGTGCGTTGGTTTTAAAGCCGTGGTGTATAATATCCTGTACTCAGTATTGTAATAATATTGTTGTTAGTGGATTATGAAATAAATTATGCAACCGGGTATAGCGGATGATAACATTCCGGGATTAGGATCGTTCGCATATAGTGGAAAAAATATAAATCATCATCGTCTAATTTAATTTACATTTTATTGGAAATTCGGGACTCAATATTTTATTCCAATTTCGTGAACTCTTGATGCTTAGCATAGAATTTACTATGGCCAGTTCAAATATTAAAACAGTTATAATGGTATAGCCCAATAGTATTATAATATTATATTAGAGATCTGTTCTAAAAATGACCGCATTCTACTTCAAAAGGACCTGGATGTGATGATAGGTACACGGGCTAAAAACATTGGACTTGAGTTTAAAATTTCAAAAACGCGTTCCACGCCTTTCCACAGAATCCAATTTCCTATTGTATCTAATTTTACTCTTTATGATTCCTTACTCACTAATGCTGGTGCCTGGTAGTACGGTAAATGATCTAGGTATTACTGTTGATCGGGTACTAACATTTCACGATTACATTGAGAAATCCTGCTGCAAGGCTCTGAAAACAGTTGGCTTTATAAAAGGGTCTCCTTGGAGTTTAATTTGATAACACGCCACTTAAAGCGTTATTTTGTGCTCTTGTCAGATCTATCCTAGAGTATGGCGTTGTTTACTGCAAACGGGATGAACCAATAAGAAAGGGTTCAACGTACATTTTTAAGGTTTACTGCTATGATGATTCACATTGACCACTTACCCTATGAGTATGATCCAATACTTAAGAGGATTGGATTAACAATCCTAGCTGATGGACGTGTATCTGCAAGCCAAGTGTTCCTACGTAACTTAATGCACGATGGGGGGGGGGGGTTGCTGTTGGGGGTACATGTTTCAAGTCCACCCCTCAAACATGACCAAATAATTACGCCTCTATAAACATGGCAAATAAGTTTGAATGAGTAAAGGGTCCCAACACAACCTTTTTAAAAAATTGTCCATTTCCCAATATAAGTCTTTTAATAAGAACATCAATTTGAAAAATCAAATTACCAAATTATGATGAGTGTAAAATATATCCCGAATAAATTATTATTTGTATAGCTTCACTGTTCAGTTACAAAGCGGTTTTTTTTTCTTTTGCACTCGTAGAATTCGTGACAATATGGATTAATTATGTTTTTTTTTATCGATCCTTCCCCTAGAGAAGGTTGTCTGGAATAAACACAGACAAGTCTCGACTTGACTCGGGCGGCAACCATAATGATAATACAATATTACTCGCTTATAATGGTCGCGATGCGTTCGGAACGATCGTGCCGCGTCGACGCGCTCCAGTCTGTATCGATTTCTGTGGTTTGGGAGCCTCGCGGGGGTGGCACAGCTGACTGGTATGCGTACCGCCACGAGATAACGCGCGTCGCCGTCGTCCGCGCCGTCAGCTGCGAGTGCCGTCGTCGTGCTGCTCTGCACTCTGCTTGGCGTCCGACGCTGCGCCGCACCACCTTGAGTCCCAGTCGTTGTTGTTGTTGTTGTTGTTATTATTGTTGTTTTTGCCGTCGGCGTTTCGCGACCGTGGAAATGACGGCATCACCACCGCCAGTGCAGCAGCAAGCCGTCACCGTCGCTACTGCAACTGCAGCTTTCCGACTGTCGTTGGTGATGTTGCTGCTTGACGTCGGCACCGCGTCCGCGTCTATATGCAAATCCGGACTGTGCACCCGCGAACAGTACTGCTGCGGCGACGGCAAGTGCTGTGACAACGTGTACAGCCTCTGGTACTTGTGGTGAGTGAAAAGTGACGTAGGTATAGAACACGTCCCGCAGCAATATTTTTCGACACAACAAATATTCGCGTCACACGTTTTTAATCGGTATATATTTTTCAATATCCCCGCCGGTTTTCGGTTTTCACATGTGCAATTTGTTTTCCCTACATTTGTCAGCCGTCGTTACTCATAAAAAATCTTTAAATAAACAATATTTAAGTCCGAAAGTTTTCATGTCGATGTAAAATTCCGAAAATCAAATTTTCTTAACCCCAAAGTGTATTTATAATTGTTCGCAGACTCGCTGTGGAAAGAAAACACTAGGAATATTGACTGTGATTTTCTATTATTAATATTATATTTTATTTCCCTTTGCAGTGGAGGTGTAGCTGTTATGCTCTTCGTTGTCGGTTCATTTTGTCCGGTCATCAGGCAGTGCTGTTGTTTTCGGACTCCAGTGATTGTCAAATATGTCCCGGTGCCCACGTCACCGACTAAATTCGTAAGTATGATATAACATGTGTAATATGATGGGAGCTGGCGGTGTCATGTGTAAGGTAAACAGTATATTAGGCAGTTGCATAGCTGGACCATGGCTAAGCGGACTATGTACCCGTGATTTAAGTGCCAAAGATAAAACAAACAAATATTAATTGCGCCAATATATTAACATTTGTATTACACAGTGCCTAGATGAACATATTTTTATAATTTTACAAGTACCTGCAATAAATCATCAATAATCAATATAATATTAACGTGTATGATTATTATAAACAAATAATACATATTTTTTTGATTAAGATTATCTACACATTTGGAGGTTTTCAGCGATGTATGTACTGCAGTTAGGTTAGATACCTAGTATAATACTTGCTTCGGGGAGTCCCAGTGAGCAATGTGAAAACAGTCGACCCAGCGATACGTTAGGAAAAAAAGAGTTACTTTGCACCTGGGATTTTGGGCATTTTTGGCACACTTATATACAATACCTACTGTTCCTTCTTAACTCATTCGACGTTTGTGTGACCAAGTCACCGAAAGTCAACTGACACTAGCCTCGACTGACCGCGGCTGGAGGGCCATATGAAACGAAACACGCGTCCACCCGACCCGAATTGCTGGTGAAGTCTATAACTATGACTCATATATCTATGACTATAATACCGCCAGTTACCCATTTGCGAGGTGCCCGGATGGTTGAGTAGCATCTCTGCATGGTGGTGTACAATTTATTTGAATGTTATACATTAATCAAAACCCCCTCTGAAATGAATAATCCATAAACTATTTTTTATTGTTCCCGCTTAGAAATATTCTGATCGTGAAAAGTGCACCAGAGTGGATGTTACGCTGCCCATGCCGCCTCAAGCTACTACGATGGACGTGACGAATTGCATATAATTCTCAGCACTACTAAACACAGTACCTACACATATTGTAATATAATAATAATAATAATAATAATAATACTATTGTTATTCACCGATAACCGCGGTGTGCATGACGTGGTCATGTGGATAGACGTTTTTTTCCCCATGACGACAACCACCATCAACCAGAACATAGCACTTTAGGGCGTTATCGAGTGTATTGGGATTGAACATTCACAATATAATATAATTATTAATAATAATATATTACCCGCCTATGTAATATGTAAATATAGCGTAGAAGTTAGAACTCGTCTACTCTCGGAGTCCTGAATGAAAAAAGTGTCCGTCGAACATTTTTCTTACTGTTCTAAATAGTTTAACTGATGGCCGACTCAAATCATTATTATATTAATTTATAAATAAATACATGGTTACGTATAAACCCCATTTTTGTACGACAGACACTAAAAGTACCTAAATCATTCAATATGTCCGTATGTAGGTACATATATTATGAATTGTGACACCGTCGTGTCTTACAAGCGGGCATTTTCATACGCTGCTGTGAACTTGTTTCCTCGTCTTTTATATTTATGACTTATGTATTATATGATCTTAGAACTTTGAATATACTGAGTAGGTAGTACGTTAAAATGTCGATGGTTGTCCTCTGCTGTCCTCGTATGATTCACGCGTGTCTTAAGTGTTAAAAAAACACTTCTGATTAGGTACCTATATATCTACAGGATCTAACGAATAAATACATTCCCTAGTCAAAAGTCTGTGTTAATGATTACAATTTAAGGGCGGGCATAAAAAATTAGTTGCAGTAGGTAGGTATATAATTGAAGGGTTGGGTGACTAAAGTTGTTATATGACATTTTCCATAGTATTTTTTCAAACTTTTCACACCTTAGCCCATGTTACGTGGCGACACGCATCACGCATTTACATGTAATGATATCGTCATTATCAACGCGTGTATCTCTGAAAATTATGATTCAAATGACTTAACACTGTGACACGCACTGACAATAGCCCCCGATTGTCCATACAACTATAGAAACAACAAACCCTTCAATTGTACGTTTTTTTTTCAATTTATATAAATATACACTCGAGCTGCATATAGGTAGTATGCGCATAAAACACAATATTACATATTGTCACATGTGTGTGTGTGAAGGTGAACAAAATATGGATCGCATCACTTTTATATAATAACATTAGGTTTATCTCCGTCCAATTGTATAGCTACATAATATATCATCATGTAACAACACACACACACACATACACAAAGTCAAATCTTGTAAGTTTTATTATATATTATATATATATATATACTATATACAGAGTGATTCGCCGAGCATAGGTACTCACCATAGTTTTATAATTTACGACGATAATTTATTCGAATTCTGATTTTTAGAATTTTTAAGTAGAAATACTTAAAGATCCGGCATATTTTCAATTTTATAGATTTTTTTATCACATTTGAGAGCGTTTCCAGCATATTGTTTACAAACAAGAATCACTCTTTTTCCTTCGAAATGTAAAGCACTTTTTTGAAAATGTCAAAATCAATATTTGATCAAATATTTGTTGAGTTATTTAACTTTGTGTACTAATAATTTTAGGTTCATAATAATAAGATATTTACCCTTTACAAGTGCACCCGCAAGATGAAATCTCACCCGAGGCAAGATATAAGAATTACTTATAATCTAATAATATTTACAGGGATATTGAAATTAAAGAACATGCCGTTAAAAATTCTCAGAGGGTTCTCCCTTTGACCCGCCTTGCAGGCGCTCTTGATCTTATGATGATTTTAAAATTTTAATAGGTATAGTGATTAATATTGATTCATAAACATTTTATAATTTGTAAATACTGTTTGAGTATAATAATAATTAATAATACTAGATACAATTTTAAGTACATCTATTTTATATTTTTTAAAGACTACTAAACTCAGTCTACATATTTTAATGACTCAGAAAGTCAGAAACTATATTAGATTGAATTTTGAGTTAGATACAATTTTCATTACAAAAAAGTTGTTTGTTATTGGAAAAATAAGAAGTTTGCATCACCTCGGGACACTTGTTAAATGGTATAAAAACCTAAATAATAGAAAATAATATTTTCCTTAAATATACTTGAAAATTCCAAAATAACAGAATTTGAATAAATGTATTAGATATTAAAGAAAAAATGGAGGTGATCACCTACTCGGTCAGTCGCTTTGGGTACATTAATATATTATTATTATTATTATTATTATCATTATTATTATTATTATTATTTAGCGCGTTTGACGTTTGGCATAGCCCACATAGGTATGTCGATACCTCGTACTTTCTAGTTTCTATTTATCTATACGTATTTACCGGAAATACTATCGTAAGTAGAGTTTTAGCGTAGGTTATATCAACGACCTACCTATGAAATGACGACATTCGATACGACAGCAGGCGGCAATATATTATCGATTGTTAACATATGCTATATATACATATTATAAAATGTAGTGGGTCAGTCACGAACATTTAAATATTGGTATTGTACCTAAATTATATAATATTGCATAACAATGCGATACCTACGGGCTACGATGCGTTTCGTTCGATTTTCTAATACCTCTATAAATATTTTCAAAGGAGGCCGTTAGTGTTGCTGCAACTAGTGTCGAAATTCTGAGGGTGGGGCCCCTGTATATAGGTCTAACAAATAATTAATGCATGCAGTTCAATAATAATCTGTATATTTTATAAAAAAAATTCGCATCAAGCCTTTATAACTGTAAAAAAAAGGTTGAGAGGGTGGAACGATTTCTAGTTATTGTTATTTATAGATCTAATCTATTAATATATTTATTTATATACATAATATGAACATGAATATACTTGAATTTTTCTCCATTCAACTAAAAAGGTTTACAAGTGCGTTTACATCACCAACAATTTGTCAATTTACGGTGTGTTTTGTGAAAACAACTATAATAATCAACAATTTAGTGTTGTATCAATTGTTACATTTGTATCAATCAATTTTTTTTACAATATGGCCTTCTCTGTGAAAATAATACGACTTTTTTAATGAAATTAATATATTATACAATCATTTTATCATAGTTAGAGGGATAGACTAGGGAGTAATATAGAGGTCTCTCCCATATGACCAGTATATTAACTGAGCATTTAAATGCCATGATTATTTTTCTCAAATTCTTTGTGTCAAAATACCTATGTCATTCAACCACATATGCTTTCGTGTTTGAGTTTGACATGTTAAGAATAAAGTAGGAATTTAATTATCATTTAAGGGTTATGTTAAAGTACATAAATAAGTATAAGAAAAGTATCAGTATTAAAAGTTAAAAACATTATACGGCTGAATTAATTCGTGAAAGATATATTTTTTAATGTAATTGTAAGACTTAATTAATGGTTTATATAAATCATATAATACAATAACTGTTACCTATGTATACTAGTTTAAGAGTGCAAATAAACATTTTATTTGCCAAAAATAAAATGTTGTTGACTATTATGTATTCTGTTTGTCGGTATTTAATAAAAAAATTATTACTTATCCGAATGTGTAATTTATTGTTGTATTTTTCTATCCAAGTTGTAATACAGACAATTGTGAATACTTAACAATTGGTTCAGTTAGTTTAACAATAAATATATTTAATATTTCAAATTAAAATATTCCTGTGTGGAAATCGTATTTGCGTAGGTACCAACAATTATATAAGAATTTAGTAAAAAACGTACATATCAATAGAAGGGGTCAAATTCATCAATGGTTCCTCAGCATAATAATAATAACTATATATACCAATTATAACTAAATTGTTAATTAATATCAATGCAAACACAACCACAGGTTAATGACCTAGGTGTTGAAGCCTTTATTCTTAATAAAAAATAAAAATAATAATAATAATAACTATTTACCCTCCAGTAGTTGAAATTCCCGCATACAATTTTCCTTTTTTTATTTATTAATACAATTCAAATAAGCATAAAACAATATTTTGTTTTGTTTTGTTTCTATGAGTATTTAAATTTAATTGATTCAAGTTCAGAATATTAATTATTTTTGCTACTCTTGCAATTTGAAAATTGTTTTCTATTTACTAACTACACTATTTTTCTCCAAATCAGCAAGTTGGTTGAGAACGCAATTTCGGCCATAATTGTTGTGCCTTGCCTTCTTTTATGAAAGAATTGTCAGAGATAAATAGACACAATTAAAATGTATTTTAATTAAATCTAAATTAAATACTTAATTATCGCTATTTATGAATATTGAGCAAATATTCTAAGCAAATGTCTGATAGTTTATAATTTCATAATGAATTGGAGATTCATAAATTCTGTGTAACTATACAATGTTGTTGGTAAATTTATAAATTTGTTGTCGTTAGAATTGTACTTAACTTTGTCAACTGATATAGAAAGTATTACACGTCCTCGTTAAATTTTTTTTTTTTTTTTTTTTTTGAACTTAAGCTTCGGCAACTGAGGCCATTAGCTGTAGTAGGATTTGTATTGTAGTTTGTATTGTATATTTTTTGGAACGGAAGGGGGAACACGTGTGTGTTTGTTTTTGGCAGAATTTCGAATGGGGCACCCGTAGGTTTCTGCCATGCCCCGGGGGTGGGGGATGGCAGCACTTGTTCTCCGGTCACCGCGACTTGTCCGGAGAAAAATGCCGCCCGGTAGCCGAGGATCGAACCGCGACCGGCTGCGTCGCAGCGGACGCGTCAGACCACTCGGTCACCTCATCCCCCCCTCGTTAAATTGTCTACAATATCTCTGACGATACAAATATTCAACTGTATACGATTTTCTTATGTTCTTGTAATTCAAAAACAAATAACCATGGATAATGAAAATTTACACCAAATGTTTTTTTATCATTTTCTATACTTGATTCTACATTTCTTTAAATTTTAAATGTGTTATTATATTAGTTTATAAACAGTGATGTTCCCATCATTTTGTATGAGAGTATACTACGCTGAAGAACGCCAAAATATAGGTATTTCATTATTTTTACGATAAAAGTGGTGGAGAGGTTTAACTAATAACTAAAAAAAATTATTATTACATTTTTATTATATCAAAACAAAATTATAAAAATGAATTATTTAAATAAATTGATAAAAAATTGTTTTCTTAACTTATCTTCTTCGTCGACGGTTTTTTTTTGTTCTTTACCACGTGGAGCTGAATCTGCTGATCTGTGGTCAGTGTTGAGTTGTATCTAGATACATTTATCTAGATGAAAATTAAGTACCTTTATCTTATCTAGATGAATAAATTATATAATATCTAAATGGTATCTAAGATTTAAGTTATGGAAATCTACATAAATATCTAGATAAATCTCGTTTTATAATGCACATTTTTCATTTAGTCATTTTCCATCAAATATTATAATAATATGATACTACGCAAGTATGTTTAATGACGATTCATTATTATCGAATTAACAATAACACCCGTACGCCGACCGCAGACGCTGTCGAGGTCGTATATCAATACAAGCTGTAATAATAGGTCATTAATTGTTATAATAATAATTAAAAACAATAATTCATATTTTACAATATATTTATTATTTTTTTACACTCACTATCCAAATTCATTTTTTTGGCCAATATCGTCCACTCCTTATCACAAACAAGTCTATCTTTGTACTTTTTGTCAAACTTGTTCCATAATACACTTCTTTTTTGCACTTCAGATATCAAAAGTTCGTTAGTTTCCATTGTAAGTAATAATTAAGTAATAATATTATATCATTAACGCACTGAACGCAGCTTTGTGCGGCGACAAAAACAAAATGATTTGTTTTTCAAATTGTCCGGTGCGTACGAACGAATTCGATCGCACGCATATGCGGCGACTGCGGCGGTACATTGGAAACGCGGACATGTTACCACAGGTTTGTTTATTTTGGTCGCCGCATCGCACGCACCGCAATGCGTTTGCCGCACTCGCCGGACTCACGTAGGACACGGCGTTATACCCCACGATAATGTCCCGTCGATCAGTAAATAATGTGGAAAAAACTAAAAATAGTTCTCGACCGGCAATAATACACACGCACATCTATGTTGTATTGACAATACCAATTCCCAATTGGATGTTATAAATAATAATATTTGCACTTTAATTTAATTTCTTTACCAGATACTAGTCACTACTCACTAGACTTTACCCAAAAGTAAATGTTTTGTCATTGCATCAATTAGTCATCCTAAGTTCAAATTAAGTTGGATTCCTGTTCGATACATTGAGTTGTGCAAAAAACTTTTTTTGACTGA